TTTTCAAAAAGCATAAATTATTAGAATCTTCTTTACTTTGATCAAGCTCTTTCAATCTTATATTGTTAAAGTTTCTCATGACTATAACTTTAATTTGATTTCTTTTATATTCTCTTATTTTCCTAATTATTTGCTGCTGGATTCTTTTCTTTTCTTCTTTATTGTTTAGTAATATATATAAGCTAATAACTAATAATTTATGCTTTTTGAAAAAAATTAGTATATCGATATAGTAATTACTATATCTTAAAACTTGACCTATATGTTTTTCTCATGTTTTATTAACTAATAAATCTACTTCTGAGCCTTTTAACTTATTTTCACATGCTTCAGTCCAAAAACTTACATAATTATTTCTTTTACTATATAGAAATTTGCCTTGTTGTTCTGACATATTTGTTTCATTAATTCCTAATATATTTATATTATTCACTAAGACCCATTCTATTAATAAATCTAGTTTATGACTGTTCGCTTTAAGACTATTGATATTGTGTATCATTATATTTAATAAACTAAAGTCTGTTGTAGTTTGTTTTTTGACTAAATATTTCTTGTATTGTTGTGCAAATTTTCCTTCTTGCCCAGATAAGGATTTTTTTGATTTAACTAGTGCAAAAATTAGGAGCGATTTAGAAATTTTATCCCTAAATCTCTAATTTTTCTCTCTAAATTTTGCATTAATTGAGCTATATGATCTAAAGATTTGTTATAATTTTTATGCGAGTTTTGTCTATTTTCTTCTTCTCTTTCATTATTTCTTAATTTCTTTTGAGAACTACTTCTCTTTTCTTTTTTAAGCTTTTCTTCCTTACTATTACTTAAAGAGGTCTGAGCTTTTCTATACTTGTTCCAACTTTCTCTATATTCATTTAAAGCTAGACTAATTAAGGCTTTTTGTGAGTAGCTCTCTCTTCTTTATACTCTTTCTTGCATATATTTTGAGCATTCACCTTTTTGTTCTTGTTTGATCTCTTTTCTTTTTTCTAAACTTTTTTCACTTTTTCTTGTGACTACTTCACTTTCTTCATATTCTTTAAGTCTTTAGTTTATTAGTAGTTCTCCTTCTTGGTCTCGTATAATTGCCTATTTTTGCTTATTGTTGTAGTAGTATATTAAGAATTTAGAGATATTTATCATATCTTCTTAATTTTCAAAATATACTGTTGCACTGCTCATATTATTGCTATTGGCATTTTGGAAGATATGCAGTACCTTGGCTCTAGATTTCTTAACTTGTTTCCAGAGCAGTACTTCATTTGTATTCTTTGGTAGGTCTAGGAGTCTTTTGCTAAATCTGTTTCTTGTATGCAATAATTCAAAGTTGTTAGTATCTGCTGTTACCCTTACTAATACTTGGTTTGCAAAAGGCAGATACCAAGTTTCATTTTTTTTCTTTATATTAAAAGTGTCTACTTTAAATTTAACCTCTGCTCATATTCTATTTTTTGCATTTTTGATCATTTCTATATATTCTACTCTTCTTATAAACCGAACTAACTCAAAAACTTAAGTTCTTTTAGTCTAGTTTAGTAAATCCCAAACTGTTATCATATTTTCTTCTCTGTTTTCATTTGAGTTGATAGAGGCTCATTGGCTTCTGATATTTTCATTACTTGTATCTTTTTGTTGCTCTAAGATAATTATAACCTTCTTTTTTCTTCTTATTAAAACTTCTTCTAATTCTGCTTTTGCCTGTTCTTCTCTTTTTTCTTTTATATCTGTAGAAGTAATCTTTATATCTTGTCTATCTGAGGATTGAGCAGCCTTTTCTTCTTTTGAATTTTCTTCATGAATTAGTTTAGCTTGCTCATACTCTTCTTTCTTGTTTTCTAATTTCTTCTTAGCTTCTTCATATCCTTTCTTATAGTCAAAAATTAAGGTATACTACAAATTGCCTTACTCAAATTTTTCAGATATTTTTTTGAGATGAACATTTCTACCTATTGACTATCTTAAAGACTTTTCTCTATGACTTGTATTATTTCCAAATACTTTTATAGCTACTACTTTTGCTTTTATAATCTTTTTTCCTTCACACCTATCTTTACTTAGTGCTCAGATACTTTTTTTAAGAGAAGAGTCTGACTCTGCTGATATTATATCCTCTTCAGATTCTTCTGTAGTATCAAGTATAGGTTTGGATTTGATTTAACACTTTCTTTCTCTTGAATTTCTTTAACATCTTCTATTAAGCTATTATCTTCTTTGTTTTTTCCTATCACTAGGAGTTGTCTTTCTAGTAAGGCTTGTTCTTCTTCTATACTGTCAGCTATCTTTAAGAGATTTGTTTGATTTATCATTTCTATATCTGATTTACTCTCAATCTTAGGCACTATTAGATCATCTCTTCTTACTATTGTATTCTGAGTTACTTGTCCTAGTACTAATTTAACTCTATCAATTTCTTCTATCATTGCTGCTTTCTCTATTACTTTCTTCCATTCTCTCACTACTGTTACTATATTACTATCTACTTCTAAAATTTCTGCAATTATTTTATCTATATAGTCTTCAAGACCCATTACTGTATTACTTCCTTCAGAAATTATTTCTTTGCTATATTCTTTTGTTACTATCCTTACTAATCTTGTTGCTTTGGCTCTATTCCACATACTTTCTAACTCAATCTTCTTTTTGAAGTGATCTCGTCTTTTTTCAGTGATTCCTAGTAACTTTTCTTAATTACTTGTGAGCTATCCAGTTTTGGTTTTGTATATATTGTTTCTAATATTTAGCATGTGACACATAGATTTTCCTATAATGTGTTTTGTTTACCTTAGTTTACATATATTTGTACTATGTCAAATTATCTGCATCTTAGGGTTTGTTTGAATTCTCAAAAATCTAAAAAAAAATTTCGTTATCTGTTTTAAAGTTCAAACTTCTTTAATATTTTGAGTTTCTTTAGACTTTTCTTCTGTACTCCTATTTTTTATATATATTTTTGAGTTCTGAATCTTTTTTCTTAGAAGATTTTACTATATTTTATAAGCTATTTAACAAGTTTTCTATAGGTTATTCTTTAGTTCGAATTTTGGTAAAATTGATCTATGGAGAGAGTTACATCATTGAGTCTAATGTATTATTAAAATCTAAATAGTATAAAATTATATTTTTATAAGTAATTAAATATAGCAAAATATTACAAATCAATGCAAAATATTAGAAAATTGATTTTGTAGTTTTGAATAGCTTGGTTGTAATAAGATATTAAATATTGATAGAAGTAATAGTTGTGATATTTAATATTTGTTTGACATTGTTGGCCTTACAAACATACTCTTAAGCTTCATCAGCTAGTTTATACTCTGTCAGAATCAGAGCTTTTGTCTGTTCTTCCTTTACTCTATACACTATAACCATGTATGCAAGCTACCTACCTAAGCACTCCTGGTGATAAACAGCAATCATTTACTCAGGCCTGACCAATATTTCCTAACGTAAGAGGGTAGGATTTTATGTTACCACAACTGGTATTACATCTCCCAGCAGGTATAGACTTCCTAGCATGTTGTTGCTGAACTCTTAAAGTATCCGTTTCAAACTATCTAATATTACACAAGCGCACCAATGAGAATAGTCATATATTCCGGGCAAAATAGATAACTATGATCATCAATACGCCTAGGGTTCCAAACTCTGACCTGGATAACCGCGTAACCGATAACCCGACCTGAAAAAATTACTATCCGGGTCATATTTTTGACAAACCGGTTTAATATCATAAACGGATCACCCGTCAATAAGCAGGTCACCCGTCAATAAATAGGTCACCCGTCAATAAACGGGTCAACCAACTTTCGTCTGATTAGCTGATGTAAATACACTTCTGCACTTTACAGTATTAAACGATAAATTCTTTTTTAAAAAATGTAATTTGATTGGTTGATTATCACGGTTACTCGGGTCACCTGACGGGTGACCCGTTTTAGTCGGGTAGCCGGTTTTAGTTTCGGGTACCCGGTTGGGAAAGATGATTGACCCAACGGGTCACGGATAGGAATTTGTAAACCGGTTTGGACGCCCTCAAGCAATACCAAACGATAGGGCGTAACACCTTGCTTGGGTGGCGAAGCCAAGGATCTGTCATTTCAAACCAAAGTTATCCAGTTAAAACACACAGGCCTTTCGGTTATTTCAGGTTTTCTACAATGTCACGGATATATTGTAGTTATCCTGATACCATTACATAGACTGTCTTTTAAGCAAGCATTATGCTTGCCGACCAACTTACAGTCGTTACACTATCCAAAAATGTCTGCAACATATACAAGAACAGTGACATTCACCTTGTTTGTTCAAGTACACAAACAGCATATCGTTTCCGGTAAGCACGGGATTGGTTTAAGAGGTCTTCCCACCAGCCTTCCCCGTTTTTGAAGGTCTAGCTCGCACAAGTATCTTACACACAAATCCTAAGGTTTCCCATAGTTAGCTTAAGATAACTTATACTTAGTGATTTGAACCGAGAAAAAATTCCTTAGTCGGGTAACCGAACCGAAATATTTAATGTCAACCGATTGCAACCGATTAAGATTACTTCACACTTTACCTTCGGAAGTTCTCGGACCTTTACTCAAATTTTTATGTTCATTCATTTTTCTTTTCGGAAGTTCTCGGACCCTTTGCTCCTTCTCATTTACATCCTGTCAACCGATTACCGATACTCAACCGGTTGTACGGGTCAACCGATTAAGAATTTACTCAACCGGTTACCCGAAATTTATTCAATTCGGGTCGGTTAACCGATTATAGCCAAACCGGTTCAAATCACTACTTACACTCACTGCTGCCTTAAATTTCTTAAGACATTCTGAACGCATTTGGCTTATCCGTATACACGCCAACAAGACATTTTCACCTACGAAAATGTTAAAAATCTATCATCGGACTACATTTCCTATGTGTCATTATCTGCGGTGGTGTTCCCTGTACCTTCGAACCCAATATGAGCTCTACCACCAGCTACTATTTAGTGAAGGATTTATTGCACACTTATGGCTTATTTAAAGAGTAGTGTACACCGCTCCGTTGCTCCTCCAACACTAAAGGTAGCACCACATGTTAAGGTTAGACAGATAATGGCAATCACATCAACCACACTAGAATGTAGCCAGGGCTTAGTCTAGCCCGGATTCGACAAACCGTCACTCCCAGATAGACTTCTAATGCCGTGCAAGCCTAGTGGCCGCTTTCGCGCTTCCACATTTTACAAGGTCGCAACACCAAAACCCAATTTATCCAATTAACCTATTCAGTCACATTACTCCACATCAGAGGGATGTCCTTTCGGTGTGAATTCCAATCACATTGTCGAATCTCGTCGATCCAAGGCTATCGTCTTTCCGATTGCTCCGTACGTCAATTCTTTACTGTTTTATGTATTTATGGATGGAACACTTATGTGTAACAGTCGGAGAATCACCCTCGTTCCAACCCACGAGATTTTGCTTTCGGAGACTCGTTTTACTCCGCCGCTAGACAATCTTCAACAGAATCTATAACTTCCATCTTGAATCAAACACCGATTGTCATATGCCCGTTGGTTAGATTCACGAACCTTTTCAAACCTCTGAAAAACTTGTACCCAAGAATTACAATCATATGAGATGAATTCGGTCCGCACCTATTGACCAACAATTTAAGATGCATGATAGTGCACCAGGACAGTGATGACTACATCAGCTATGCTTGACAGATCCATTATATATTCCTCCAATTGATCTCACCTATAATCGGTGCCAATTGATTTTTTAAAAACAATTGGTAAACAAATTTATGGCTTTCCACCAAAGGCACTCGCATACCTGGATAATTTTCATCATCTTGAACTTTCTATCGATTCCAGATGAAAGTCCATAAGAAAGATAGGCTATAGTCTCTCTTATTGCTCCGTAAGTCACTGTTTTGTTCCAGCATGTGTATTAACGGATGAGACACTTCCGTACTGGTTAAGTTAGTTTCTTATAGTCTCGACCTAGTAGTTTTGCTCTCGATGACTACAAACACCGCTAGAAGGTACAACGGACTTTCATAAACATGTGTTGCTTCCTTTTCTTCATAGTTGTGATTTGAAAACGAAAAACGTCCAAATCTGCAGAGCTACGATTTCATCCTAGCACCAATTAACTTTTTCGTAAAAACAATTGGTAAAGAAAAAACTCCATAAAGTAAGAACCCAACCTTGATATTTCCAGAGCTCAAAATCATCCAAATACGCTCCTAAACTGAAACAACCAAACCTCCTTGACGTTTGCCCGTGAGTTGAGTTTCCCATTGACTCACAATTTAAGGTTTTCTTCTAAGACTTACAAACTAGTAAAAGTTGCTTCGATGTTCTCCCACGTTTACCATATAGAATGACCACATCCGGAATAGCGTACCATTATTTCAGGCGCGTGTTGATTCCGACCCACTAAAGGACTTGATGCACAGTACATTCTTTTCCTCTTTTCTAAATAAGACTTATCATGAGTTTGCACGGCTCATGTCTAAGACAAGTCCGCTTGCATTCCTACATATAAAATGTATGCTTAATTAAAAAAGAGTTAGATACACGCTGATACTGACGAAAGCATCGGTTTCACTAATCCAAATCTTAATATAGGCTCGACCTCTCAGTCACGCTACATAGAATGAATTCTATGTTTTTACCACTACCTAAATGCAAGACTGTTGACAGAAAAAGAAGAAAACCAGGACAGTGACGCCTACAAGAACCACTTGGATTGTAACAGAATATTCACGTACTCAAAACTGTTAAGAGTTGCCGTTACAAGCAAGGAACTACTCTAGGACTGTTATTACACACTCAAGTTCTCAAACTGGAAACAGGTTGGAGGTAATAAAAATAAAACCTGACTCAAAAAAACAAGAACGAACTAAACAACATCGATCGCCAAAGGCGACTGAAAATTATTTCGTCGACTCGATTCTGAGTTAGGTTAAATTTTTATTACTGTAATCTTCATATTTAATATTATTTGTTAATAATTTTAAAGATAAGTAAAATAAAATATTCAAATCTAAATTATAGGTTATAAATACTTTAATTCTAGCTATATTAAGTAATTAAAAAATTTTTAAACAATTTTAATTTATAACTTCTTTAATAAAATTTTCTAAAATATTATACTACAACTACTTAATCAAAACTAATAAAAATTTTTTTTAATTTAATTCTACTAATCTGTAGAATTCAAATAAATTTTTTTTTTATTAATTTTGATTAGGTAAGTTCCTGAACTACGTAGAACAATCCGATTAGTAATAATTACTAAATAAGATGCGATTATCGATTGCAAATATAGTAAAATCCCTAACTATGGTTATAGTATTTCAAAAAATATTATCAAAAAGATCACCTATACTATATTTGATTCTAATTTATAAATTTAAAAAGTTTAATGGATGTTCTATAGAATAGGTGGGCAATATAAGAAATAAGCTTCGTTAATGATTAGTAATCATTAATTTTTTTAATATATTCAGCGGAGCTAGCGGAGTTTGCCCACCTATTCTATAGAACATCCAGTTTAATTGTAACTTAATAGTTTTTAAAGTTATTTTAGTTATTAATAAAAGATATATAAAGATAATTTGCTATATAAGAGATAAATTTGAAAAAATTTTGTTTGTTTTAAAATAGTTTTAATTATTAGCTTGAGTCAATTCCTTAAATAAGAAATAAGTAAATCTTTTAAATTCTAAGAAATAAGTAAATCTTTTGAATTCTAAAAGTGATTATTGTAAAACAAATAAATAACAAAATTTATAATATCATTCAAAAAATAAAAGAAATTTCTTGGAATTATATAAAAAAAAAAAAAAAAAACTTGCTGTCAATTACATTTCATGATAACAATAGGCAGAAATCGCCTTCAAAATCCGTACAAATATCAAGCTTGAATAAGCAAATTCATACTGTGAAGGATCGATCAGTGTCGTTAATGTATTTTATCACCTATCATCCCAATACTTAGCGTTATCACCATTCAAATAAATGATATATATATACAATCTTCGGGAAAGCCCAGTTCAACAAGAAAATTAAAAGTGTCACGATTAAGAGGTGTTGAGACATTTATACAGTAAGTATATGCTATGAAAATGAGTTTTATAAAGTTTTAATAGAAGAATATGAAGCTTGTATCAATGATTTAAATTTATCATATGCACTGTTTTTAATGTTATGACCGGAATCTTTTTCTCTATAAAAGTACAAACGAGATTTACTTAATAAAATATATGTTAAATTTTGGGAAACTTTTATTATCTGTTATGATATTTCACGCGGATCACGAATTAATTATATTTAATTGGAATAATCACTTGGTAAATTAAATTCATACCCTAAAAATTCGAATCTATATCTTAAATAATTTTAAGGATATAATGATTATGCGTCAAACCCATCAGTCCCCAACCCGAAACTCATCAATTTTCTATTGGTTAGGGACCTACTAAGACATATCATTTGACAGTTTTATAATATCATCTAGTTCAAATAATTTATCTAAACCTACCAAGACATACTGTTTGAAATCAATTTGTATCGATGGTAATGCCAAACTACCTGGCCCACTATCAAAAATTGTTAGGATACTAAATCTAACGTTGCATATTGACGCATATGCTGTATATCCAGATAGACTAGAAACAATCTGGTTTGAGTGGGCTGAAATGGGAAATCTGAAAGTGTATACTATATAGCAAAAAAACGAAATTTGAAAGCTTAGGTATTTAAAAAGGGATTGTGTTTTGAATTCTGTATTTTTCACAATAATTTCCGACGCGAGAATATTAATGGTAGGATACACAATTTTGTAATCACATGTAGAACTAGAATATCATTTTATAGATGTCACGTTTTATAGAACTTCAAGTTTCATCTTGTTCGAATGCATAATGAGCCAAACATAATAATACGTCAGTTTATAATGTTATTTAATTGGATGCTTCTGAGAAAATTTGTAGACTATTGAAAGAATCGGTTTAGAAAAAACTGTGCCAGGTTTTGTCGATCACTCGTCGTCACATGATAATTTTCAGATCAGAAATTAATGACTTTATTTAAATTTTACAATTATTAACCTTAATAACTTCATCATTATGAGATTCAGAGATAATTTCCAGATAGTTTTAATAATTTTAATACAGTATAATGTATCTTCATTTAAAATTGATTTAATAGTTATTTTTTTTAAAAAAAATTATATGTTTATTAATAAAATATTTAGTATTATTATGTTTATATTATTTATATTATTAATTATATAGTATAACTTAATATTTTTAATAAAAATATATATATACGTATCGAATGTAAAAATTATAATATATAAGATTATCGTTATGTACATTCTTAAGCTATAATTTGAGTTTAAAAAAAACAACGATAATTACCGTTACGATAAATTTCTTTATTTACCGCCTATTCGACTCAAACCGAGATCGACGACAATGACAATTCCGAATAGGGTAATTATCAGGAAGCAATGTTACATATGACATATTGATCTAGATAATCATTACTTTATCTAGTAATAATATGCAACATGATCACATTAAAGATCTTAAATTAACCGTATTGGTTTCAAAAGTACGGCCGCCAAATATTCTACTTTTAGAAAATTGTCGCATTTTATATATTAGATATTTAAACTTTTCGTTTATCGTTATAACAATTAGGATTGGTTGTTTTTTTTTTCTGATAACTTTCTAAATAACGTTTTAGGATTATCATATTCCATCTTTATTCTGATTCGTAATCTAAAACGGTTTATTCGTTTATATTACACTTAAATATTATTAAATATAGTAGTTAGAAGGTTCACAAAGAACAATGGATTATGCAGATAAATTCCAACCTGGTTTATATTGGTAGTTTATTTTTGATGAAGTCTTAAATCCGATACGATTCTATACCAGGTATCCTTGTTAATCAAATTTAACGTTAAATAAGTGAGGTAATACAATAGACATATTGTGTAATAAACTAGTATATCTAATAAGTGAACAATAAGTAAATTTCTAGTGAATTATTGACCAATTAGGATTAAACTTAAAACTATATTTTAGGAAATCCCGTTTAGAACCTATTGTAGTATAAAAAAAGTTTAATAATAAAAAAACTAAGTTTACGGAGATGGATAAATAAATTATTATTATAAATTATATTTAAGAAATAGGATTGTTTTTTTGTTTTTTTTTTTTTTTTTGAAAAAAATCATTGACGTATTTTAGCATATATGATACATAATAAATTTATTTTAATTATCACAGAATCAACTTTAAAAACCGAGGTATTAACTTCTAGGTTAACAATGGGATAAGATATTCTGGATTGTCAATCTCAACCCAGAAAAACAAGTCAAACTAGATTTAGAGAAAGAATCTTTTCAGCCCACACCAATCACACTACGTTTTCTCTGAGATCACATTTATATGTACTCGTAATTATAACATTCGCATGGCATACATAATTTTAAGAATAGAAGTATACAAATTATGAAATCATATTCGTAATTAAAAATATATAATTGACATTGGAACAATAGAGATATTTCCTTTGTTTTCTCATTAAACATTATTGCTTTAGGGTCTCGACCTTTTAATTGATCCATGATATATTAAAGAACAATAGTTATTTTGAGGTATGAAAGATTTATAGTATAAACGATTGTTCTCATATTTCCTGTTTATGATCTGAAAAGCATATGGAAGGTTTGTGAACGGACAGAATTAGTACACAAAAATATATTTTATTCAATTTAAAAAACAATTTAGACAATTTTATTTCTAATCAAAATAATTTTAACGTAATCAAAAATGCAAAACTTCTAGGATTAACTATTTAATGACAAGTAATAAACACTGCATTCATTGAAACTCTTTACTCATTGATCTTTCAATGAAAGACATTAAGAAATATAGAAAAAAGAAACTTTATTCCATTGAATAATACATACATACAGTACATGTACATATCAGATATACACACATATATATATATATGCGTATTAACGTCAATAAAAAAAAATATTATATGATGAAATAGGAGATATACCAAAGACACGAGGAGTTTGCATGCATCAACTTTGAGAAAGCGCCTTTATTTTCTTTTAATTTTTTTTTTTTCTTCTGAAAGTAACTATCGCGTTATCTGATATCGATTGTATTAATAATCATTTACTAATTTTATTTTATCGCGCTTATCATATTTAGAATGTAACATTAGCTCCGATAAACCAAAAAAAGAGAACAAGGGAATAAAAGAATATCAAAGAAAAAACTGTAAACAATGTTGAAATCATCTCAATCAGAAACTTCCGTAATACGTTTATTATTTTACGGAGGACGCGCTTGAGTGATCTGTCAACAGTCAACGTATTAGAATTATTATAAATTATTTAATATATGTATATGTAATCATCTTTTC